CCATTTATTCCTTTAGGTCATTCAATTCTTACCAGTAACCAGCTTTTCATTTAACTGCTGAAATGATTTGTTCACTTCTGAAAATCAAGAGTCTTCAGTCATCAGGCCTCTCTCCTCTAATTTAATATTCTTCAGTGTTCTTACAACTCCTCAAGCACAGTCCTCCCACACTAGCTGGGTGTCACCTTGTCCTGCAGGAGCCCTCCAGGTTTTCCCAGAGAGGTGTTCATCTGCCTTTCTTCACTAGTGGTTGCCTTTTCTCTCAGTACTCAAGTCAAAGAGGTAGGCAATGGTTTGCTGGTAAACATTTAACAACCAACCTAGATGTAGGGGAAAGAGAAAGCCCCATGTAGAGAGCTTTCCCTTAAAGTAAATACTCTCTTCGTGGCTGATTTCAAAGTACCAACAGACAACAGAGCTGACTGCTCATGAAGACAGGACAGCAAGTCAGGATGGCAGCCCAATGAACAGAGTACTGGGAGAAGTGATGCAATAGTCCAAAATGATACCTCATTCTTAGGACAGCCTTGATTCCCTAACCCAGAACTGGCTTCCTTCTGCTCTGCCCTTGGGTCATTTGCTTTCATCTTTGATCAGCACTTTATTCCATCCTGTGTTGTTCTTTACATATTACTACTGTGATATTGACTCTTTAAAGAAGGGAAGGGGTGCACGGACCCATCCATCTTCAGTTTCCTGCTAGAGCCTACACTTATTATTTGATGAGTGAATTTAATGACTGAAGTTCAGGCCAAACAGCATAGCGCCACATCTAAAGGTACAGAAATATGCACCTAATCTCAGTGCAAAGTGGGAAAAGTACAGTCCTCTGCATACTTGATATGCTGCATCAATTTTTACCAAAAATCTAGAACTTTACAAAATAAAATTATAATTCTGATCATTGTTTTGGTGAAGTTTGAGGTTAAAGTTTAATAAGGTACCAGAAAACTAAGTCCCAAATGCTCAATACAGGTCAATTGACATTAGACTTATTAAAATATCTTCCTTATTTCTCCTTTAGCTTCAAATCAAATAAAAACTGCTTTTTAACATTAAAATTTTAAGAGTCAACAAGAATAACTTCTTGTGTATCCTATTTTTAAGTTTTAGACACAAGCATTTTCATAGTTCAAATCTAAGAACCTTTTGTAAAAGTGTCCTCAGCTACAAAAAGATTTCAAAAATAAACATATATAACAGAGAAATTTAATGCAGTCATAAAGACAGACATTTGCCTATGAATAGTGCCTAGAGAGCAGGACAGATGGAAAACAGATGGGTAATCTCAAAGGGGCAAAGTGACCCGGCCCCAAACATATTGAGAAGATCCTGGACCAGCTTCAGTTGCACTTCCTGCTGTCTCTTTCAGGCACATATATCAAACAGTCAAAGATGATAGTTAAACATATCTAAGACTCACTCTGGGGGAAACTGGGAAAGGAGAAACAGTAACCTGAAGGACAGGAGGCAGGAGCCATTCATCGAAGGAAGAACTGAGGGAACGAAGTAGGAGGTAGCCGTTGGAAATGGCAAATACAGGTGTGAATTTGACAACTAGACACCATGCTATTGAACAGCTTATGGTGTAGGAACTGGAATCCAGCAGTTCAAAGAGTAGTCAGTGTGGAATTAAAACCCTAGGATCAGGACAGGGGGTGCAGCAGCTCACTGGTAAGAGTGCTTGCCTAGCATGCACAAGGTCTGCATTCCTTCCCAAATATTAAGAAAAAAAAGAAGGTCAGGCATAGATGGAGGAAGAAGGATGCCCTCATGTTCAAGGCCACTTGGGGCTGTACAGCAAGACCTTGTCTCAAAAAAAAAAGAAAAAAAAATCCTAGGTCCAGTCCCTGGCATAGTCATTTTACTGGTTATTTAGTTTTAATCAACCTCTTTGAGCTTAATGAAAAATGGAAGCGAGATGAAACAATTTTAAAAGTTTCTTCCAACAACTTATGACAGCTAATAGTGCTGTATTCCTTTCTTAGGTAAGCAGAAGGAAAAAATTATGTTGTCCATGTTGACAATTCCTTATTTAAAAAGTAAGACAGTATATTATATGTCCTGTGGAAAAAGCACACTCAGTTGAAGGGTATTTACATCACTAAGGAATTTGTAACATTTTATATATTTCTAAATGTACATTAAGTACAGTCATCAATTCAATGAGGATTTTAAATGCCTCATTTTCTTCTCTTACGGGTCATATTGACCATATATGCTCCTTCTGCCTTCTGTTTCCTATCATGTCACCTGCACAAACAGGTTAGCTGAGCAGACATGAAATCTGCAAGTTCTGAATTCGCTTTCCAAATTACTTCATCTTTTAAACTTTAGGAAAGAAAGCAAAGTATTAGAAATCGAGTGAGTTGCTTATCCAGATGCATATACAGGTAATTTCAAATATCCAAAGCAATCACTTCTCATCCACACTACAGATAAGATTCTCTTCACTGATTAAACAAATGTTTGCCCAGCATCTTCTATGGTTTATTGCTAGGGTTACAGTAAGAACTAAAGGCCTATGTGGATCTGACCTCAGGAAAACAGCTGATATTAATGAAATGATCATTCAATGATAAGGCTACAATTGTGTGAAGGGTATAATTTATCTTGTATGTTTGAAAATTCAAAAATTTAGGAAAAATAACTTGGTGAATCACTATTTTTTGTTTTAAGAGTTCAATGAAGAGGCCAGAGAGAAAGCTCAGTAGTTAAGAGCACTGCACTTCTGCTGGATTCCAATTCCTACACCATAAGCCTTTCAATGGCTCTTGCAGAGGACCCAGGTTCAGTTCTCAGCACCCAGTGACAGCTAACAAACATCCATAACTCCAGTTTCAGAGGATCTGATGTCTCCTTCTGGCCTCTGTAGACACTGGACAACAGGGACACAGTTACATACATGCAGGCAAAACACTCATACACATAAAATAAAAATAAATTTTTTAAAAGCTGATTTGAACCTACATAGAATCTATGACATGATTATGTAGGTCTTGTTATATACTTTCACACTTTATTTTGAGGTGCCAAGGATCTAACCCAGGGCTTCACACATGCTAGGCAAGGGCTCCACTACTGATCTATCCTGCAGAAGTGACTAAAGCACTTTAGGTCAAAAAGTAACCTTTACAGGCCTCCAAGTTCATTAGAGGTTTCCGCCTATTAAGTCTCAGGAAGCCCCTTCCATGTCTTCAGTGTTTCCTCTGTTTACTTCTTCTGCCCCAAACTTGAAAAATCGTTTTTCTTTTTCACTTATGTTTTTCGAGACAGTGTCTTGCTATGTATCCCTGGATGACCTGGAACTTGCTCTGTAGACTAGACTGGCCTGGAACTGTTTCTGTCTCCTGAGTGCTGAGATTAAAGGTGTGCACTATCATACCCAGTCTGATAAACCTGGCCTGATAAACCATTTTTCTACTACTTGGAAACACTGACAACTTCCTAGTGGTAAATTTAATTACTGAAACATTTCTTCATTCAGAAGTTCATTTTTCAGACTAAAACCCATCATTATCTTAGGCATCTTAATTTTCATTAATAGGATTAGCATTTGATTTTCAGAAAATTTCACTGCTATTTTTAACATATTTTATTTATCACTAAAAAAAGTTTCTTCTCACAACTGCTCAAAGAGAATAAGCAGCTGTGGAGTGCTTAAGCACAAATGGGACATCTATATCACACCCCCTCCCCCAAGGCTCAGGGAACATTGCAAAAGTGGAGAGGGAGAACTCCCAGGGAGGACTGGGGCAAAACACTGTCTTCTGAACAGGACAGGACCAAGGCACTCATGAATGCACAGTAGGTGTGGTTGCCTGCTCAATACCAAGCCAAAACCAGCATGGAGGAGGAGGGGCTCACAGCCCCCACCCCAAGCTCAGGAGTTATACTGACAGTTGTTGACTTCTAGAGGAAGAGAGTGTCAGTTTTCTTTAAAGGTGTGATGCCTGGTAGGTCAACAACCTCCAGCAGCTGGCTCCACACCCATGACTATATATATGGGCAGAACAAACCGGACTCAATAGGTTGGACACAAAGTTGATGTGGGGAGGATCTGGGAGAGTTAGGGGAAGGAATAATGGATAGGATCAAAATACATTGTATTCATGTATAAAATTCTCAAAGAATTATTAAAAGTATTAAAAAAAAGAATTTCTTTTAATACCCACATCAATACAGAATAAAATCAGATTTACTTTTTAGGGACCAGAAGACAGGACAATGATCTTTCTACTTGCTGCCCGTTAACTAAACTCACAGAACTTCCTCAGCTGAAATCCTTACCAGAAAAACCTGTGAGCTGGGCCAGGGAGATGGCTCAGTGGGCAGATGCACTTGCTATATAAGTATGAGGGCCTGAGTCCAGAACCCAGATAAAAGTGGGATGCAGCCGGGTCCCAGCACTCGGGAGGCAGAGGCAGGTGGATCTTTGTAAGTTTGAGGCCAGCCTGGTCTACATAGCAAGTTCCAGGACAGCTGGAGCTACAAGGAGACCCTTGTCTCAAAAACACTAAAAAATAAAATAAAATTTAAAAAGTGGGATGCACAGCAAAGCATCCGCATTCTAGAGCACCTACCAAAGATAGGAGAAGAGAAAAGGAAGGCTCCCCCAAAGTTCATGGGCCAACTAGCCTGGAATGCCTAGCAGGGAAAACAACAGAGATCCTGCCCCAAACAGGGTCTGAAGTAGGGGCTGGCACTAGGGCTGTCCTCAGGCCTCCACATGCACCGTGGCATGCTCTTACCCAGACTCAGATAAACACACATAAAAGATAATATTTTTTAAAAAAGAGAAAAGTTGAAAATTATTATATTCATGAAATCACTCACACATGTTCAAAATCATGAATGTCAGGAGCCCAGAATACTCTAAAAAAGCTTATTAATTAAGTATAGCAGAAGTCAAAGGCCCTTAATTTCCTAACAGGTATAAACAGGTATAAAAGCCTAGCTAAAAGAGTTTTTAATAACTATAATATTTCAGCGATACAAACCTTTAAAGCCATCAGGATACACATCGGAGAGAAATTTAGTGCTGATGTCTCCTTTTACAAATCGTGCGTTGATTATCACCTCTCGAAGCAAGGCGATGTTGTGCGTAACACCTTAAAAAAAAAAAAAAAGACAGAATTGGAGAACAATGAGTTAGGCACAGTCTCTGGTAAAGTGCTTGCCACAGAAGCCTGAGGACTTGAGTTTGATCCTCAGCACCCATGGTAAAGAGCAGGGCACAGTGATGCTTGTCTGTAATCCCAATGTGGGGGGTGAGGGGGGCAGAGAGAGAAGGGTCCCTGGAGCTGCTGGCCTGCCAGCCTGGCCAAATGAGTGAGCTCCAGGTGTAATGACAGGCCCTGTCTCAAAAACTGAGGAAAGTAATTCAAAAAGTAAGGTGGAGACCAACATCGATCTGTAGCGTACATACACACACACACACTTATGAACATGTACACATACACACCCCTTTATGAACATGCACACACACAAATCTAAGAATGATTCACAATTACTTTTTTAATAAAAATAATTTCAGGTTCATCATCTGAAAGAACCTAGAGACTAATTACATAAAAACTAAGAAAATGTCTATAGTTTCATAGACTGTATTTATGTACATTAAAGGAAAAAACACCCCAAACCATTCAGACAGAGGCTCCATTTCCTACTTAGCTTGTATCTAAACATGGCAACTAATTCCTAGACAATGGAATATAAGTTAAAGAGATGTGTCCAACACCTGTCTTCTTGCTATTTGCTTAGACATTCTTTCATTCCATCCTCTTCGGGACTTTCTGATGAGGCAGGAACTCAACTTTGACATACAAATAAAACAGAACAACATGGGTATTAGGTGTGTGAAGTATCTGTCTGTGTGTCTGTGTGTGATGCTTATATCCCTGAATGACCTCAAGAAGCTGACTTGATCCATCATCTGAAAGAACCTAGAGACTAATTACATAAAAACTAAGAAAACATCTATAGTTACATACACTGTATTTAGGTACATTTGTTACAGCATTAGGCAAGTTTGTTACCTTAAATCTGAATGCCTGTGTATAGGGTAATGGGTATATCTTTTCCATATGACTATTCATCCATAAGCTCATCACTATTAAGGGCTTACAATATCTTTCCAGGCATTTTTCCATACATCTCTAGACCATATCAGCAATCCATGAATTGGATTATCTCTGTTCCTAACTCACAAGCTGTACATCTAAATTGTATAAAATCCAATTCTCGAATCATCCAACCTACCTCAAAACATTATATAATGGTCCAACATTCTAGTACAAATGTTATTCCTTTAACTACAGAAAATTCCATGGAAGGTGTTCTCTTATTCTGAGGATGGTAAAGTAAGCAGCCTTTGCAGTACACACTGAGAGAAACACAGCCCAAGTTTAGTCTTGCTCTGTGGTAACAACTCAGCTCAAACCCACAAACTACTGCTTCTAAGGGCTTTTAATTAACAGGGAACGAATACCTCAAATTCACTACATGTCTGAGGCATAAGAGTATCTGACCTTTACAAGGACTTTTATTTTATTTATTTATTTATTTATTTATTTATTTATTTATTATTTATTTATTTATTTATTTATTTATTGGTCTTTTTGAGACTGGGTCTCCCTGTAGCCCCAGCTGTCCTGGAACTCACTATGTAGACCAGGCTGGACTTGAACTCACAGAGATTCACCTTCCTCTGCCTCCCGAGTGCTGGGATGAAAGGCCTGCGCCACCATGCCCAACTAAGGGCTTTCATTTTAAAAAGCATTTTCATACAAAATTAACAGAAAGTACAAAAGTACAAGAACCTTCTGATGACAACAATATATCTACAGCATTATTGGAAAAAAGGTGACAATTACCTACAAATAAGCAGTATATTTAAGATGTTTAGAAAAATGAACCAGAGACACAAGAATTTTAAAAACTTGAAAAAAGTAGTGGTGATATACAAGGGAACTTAGTAACTTGACCATGTTTTATAATTGGATAAAATTAAAGCACATTTGAAAAAGAAAGTTTCTCATTCGCCAGAGAGGCACTTCTGCACAAGAAATGACCACAGCGCGGCTCCAGAAGAGAAAGGCATTTGGAACTTACAGATTTTCCTGAGAGAAAGAAACAGAAAGATGTAACAGGATATAGAGTTAGGCACTTGAGTTTGGGACATCAGAGGAACTTACCGTTTTGAGAATTTTCACTGCTGTATAAAGCAAATAGTTACCAGCGGGTATTTCTGTGAGTACTAAAAGAAGGACATTTGGCTAAAGAGGAGGACAGGAAGCAGCCAATGGGGCATTCAGGGTCCGACTGGCCATAGAAAGAAGTTGCTGTCCCCTCAGAACAATGAGAAGAGTGAACCAAGGTGCAAATAAGTAGGTTTACACATCCAGAGGAAGGGGACTGCACAGGAGCAGAGTGAAGATGAAACTATACATCACTTACAACCGCACGATGGAAACCATCAAGGCTGTGGTCCACAGCCAGAGGTTGACATTCTATGTGGGGAAGACATGGCAGAGGGTGGGGAGCCGTGGGTGTGACATCCACATGAAGGAAGTCAAAATAGCAGGACCAGGTATGGGCAGAATGAAATCAGCATCACACAATTTCTACAGATACTACAATACCCAAAGTGTACGAGAAATAAGGTCCTACGGGAGGGACTGGGAAGGATTCAAGTCAGAAGACCAAGGTGCCACAGTACTTTAATTAAAAAAAAAAATCAAAAAACAAAAAAATGATTGCTCTTACACACAAATTAGCAAATCAGAATATGTCCATTTACAAGATTTTTTTTCCCAAACAATAAGTTAGTGAGACAGTCTAACTTTCACGATTTTCATCCCAGTTAATAAAAATAACATGTTCACTTACACTTGTAATAGTTCACATTTTAAAATTTACATTTTATTTATTATTTTTATTTTATGTGTATGAGTGTATTGCCTGCATGTATGTCAGTGCACGCGTGTCGTGCAATGCCGCAGAGGTCAGAAGAGGGCTTCGGATTCCCCGGGAACTGGAGTTAAGGACAGTTCGTAGCCACCATGTGGGTGCTGGGTATCAAACCCAGATCCTCTGCAAGAGCAGTCAGTGCTTTTAACTGCTGAGCCATCTCTCCAGCCCCAATATTTCACATTTTAACTTTACTGACTTTCCTTTTATAGTCCAGGCCAGGTTCTGGACTAGTGTTCTGTGTGGCCAGTGCCAAAACAGTTAGAACAAGATTCTGTCTTCAGCAAAATATGTATGACACAGCTTTTGGGAATAGTTTATGATAATTTGAACACAAATAAGATTATTGCCTAATATTGACGACATGCAAAAAATAAAAATGAACATAATTTTATAGGAAGAATGACACATTGTAATTTCATTCTGTATTCAGAGATGAAAGAGAGATGTTGCTTTTAGAAAAGGCGATTCAAAAGAATTATAAACAAATATGAATTTACATTTTGGATGTTAAAGAACAGAGCCATCCAAACACAAAAATAGACATGAAATTGTTTTTTCATTATGGCATTTAAAAAATTTTCTAAAACTAGCAAAGTACTGGGTATCATACACGTATTTCAAGGTGTTCTGGGTTGGGTCTTCCTTCATCTCCTCACCCCCTTCTCTCCGATGTTCCCCTGTACCTTTCCCCAGTCTTCTTTATGCTTTAAAGTCACATATATCCTTTGTACTCCACTTCTTACCCTCTCTTGGTTTCATTTCCAGGGTTTTAGGCTTTACCCACATTTATGCCTACTTATAAACCTGTGTGAGTGTGTGCGTGTGTGTGTGTGTGTGTGTGTGTGTGTGTGTGTGTGTGTGTGTGTGTGTACATGTGTATTACAAACTAGGGTGGTCATAGAGAGAACACAGGGTTGGTATTTTTCTAAGTTGGGTCACCTCACCTGATAAAATTTTTTCCAACTCTATTTTCCTGCACATTTTATAACTTCATTTTTCTTTAGAGCTGAGCAAAATTCCATTTTGTGTATGCTCCACGTTTTTATTTTCCATTCATCTGCTGATGCTTCCATTCTACTAAAGGATTTTTTTTTTAAATCTCTTTCTACTTATAGTAAATACTGCATGAAGACGTTTATTTCACTAGGTAATGTTTTAAGAATAAAATTAAAACTCAAATGCATTCTTCTTTAATGTTCTCTGAGTAAGATATTATATATTACTATGTGAAATCAAATTGTAATCTGTTTAACTTCCTAAGGATTATATGGTAAAATACTGGCTAAAGGCAGGCCTGCAGTTCCAAGAATTAGTACATATTAACTAATTCTAAAGCCAAAACAGAATCAGAAAATAATCAGGAAATTATTCTACCTATAAAAAGCTTGAAATATCAGACGGATGGGAGAAATCATGAACCTCTGAGAGGTACCACTGTGGATTTAGTTTGCTTTCTTTCCCTGTCCCGGGAAAGACAATGCCATTTGAAGGACTACTTGTATAAACAGCAAGTGGACAGTAGACACATTCTTTCAGAGTTAGTTTACAATCTCAATGCTATTATTAATCACATACTCATAAAAAGTATGACTGAGAGTTTTAGATTGGGAATTGGAGGTGACCTGTGCCAGAGTTCACCAGGTCCCATCTGCATGGGAAATTGTGACCAGGCCACAGAGGGAGGCCCCTGGAGCAGCCTTCTCCTGACTGCCTGCTGATTCCAAAACAGCAGGCCAGACGTTAGTGGTGCATTCTGCCAGGATCAAACAGAGGCCGTGGGGCACTGCTTCTTTCATGGGGACTTAATAATTAACTTTAACCAAAGTATACTGTGCTCTAAAGTTTCCCAACTAAACAAAAGCTCACAAGCAGTTTAGGGGGAAAATACTCATATTTGACCACTTAAGTAGTTACTAAACAAGACAGTAAATTCTTCTTCCTTTTCTGCTCTTTAGAAAACAATTAAAAAGCCCATCTATTCTTTAGAATTCATCAGGTAAATAAGTAAACATCAAAGGGCACTGTATGTATGGAGGGGTGTCTCTATCTTTTAAAAACTTTATTCTGGAGTAATTTCAGAATTTTAGAAAGTCTACAAAAAACAGTACAAGAATCACTGCTCATCTTTTACTGAGGC